TAACACATAATGCCTGATGTCATCTTTCTCGCATTCGACATTAATTAAGGTAGGGAGCCTCTGGCTCGTTCACGTCCAACACCAATCTACCTATGTCTGGCATGGATAAAGTAGAGTTTAGGGTTTAGGGTTTAGGGTTTAGCCTCGACTTATTGGATAAAGTATAGAGTCTCTTTGTCAATAGTGCTTGGCGTGACTAAACCCATGCCCGACCTTATATAAAGGTAGAGAACCTCTGTTTGACTCACACCTGATACTACAATATTAGCTTCTAACATTGTCTAGACAGAGAGTCTCTATTTTGATCACGCTTGACACCACTCAGGGTATTGATGGGATTATTATTATGGTATTTGTTTGAGGGGATATTTTATGAGGGTTGTTTTATAAGGTTATTACACAAGCATACTCCACAATGATGAGATATTGTCCGCTTTGAGCCTTAGCCCTCACGGTTTTTCTTTTGGTCATCACCCAAAAGGCCTCTTAATCATTGAAGTATGTTTATGCTATATAAGTTGTTATTTTTTTATCATATTTTATCGATGTGGGACTTGTTTGTATCCCAACAATCCTCCCTTCAAACAAGGGACCTAACCTTTCATGCAGCGGAATCTATCTTTATATATCACATTATATGTTATGAGTTATGAGGGGTTATAAGGGTTATTGGTTGTCAACGAATCTAACTTGCGACTCTAATACCATTGTTGGGGTTATTTTATGGTATTTGTGTGAGGGGATATTTTATGAGAGTTATTTTTATAAGGTTATTACACAAACATACTACACAATGATGAGATATTGTCCTCTTTGGGCCTTAGCCCTCACGGTTTTGCTTTTGGTCATTACCCAAAAGGCCTCTCAATCATTGAAGTATGTTTGTATTATATAAATTGTTATTTTTTCTCTTATTTTATCGATGTGGGACTTGTTTGTATCCTAACAGGTATAACGTCACCAAGTCAGAGAGCTCCTTAACACTACAAGAAATGTTACATATAGTGACATATAAAAAATGTCACTATAGATACAATATATGTAGGTATATATATCTATTTGGCATATAGTTACACACAATTTTAGTGTTGATTTTGAATGAGATTTAACAACATATTTGGTGTGTCACTATAGTCTATACTCACACTTTTTAACTATATATCAACATACATTGTATTTATTATATGTGTAAAAGTAATTTTAATGACATGTATAGTGTCACTATAAGTATGTGTGTCACTATATGACAATTTTCTTATAGTGTGAGTACTCAAGCCCAATGCCCATCACTCCTCGACATGACTAAGTCATAGAGCTCTTCATTGATCCACGTCCAACGCTACCAATCTCGCTTCCAAAGTGATTAGGGCAAAGAGCCCCTAACTTAAACTACCGCCAGCATTATGAAGGCGCACCTAGCGTGACAAGAATTTTTGCACTTGGAAGAATCTCATTTTGGCTCAATCCACCTGAAACGCAACAAATGACCAACCTACAATCATATTTTCCACATATGCACAACCATTTCCAGCACTACTTACAACATGTTAGAAAAGACGGCCTAATCAAGAGGGGGGGTGAATTAATTGCTTATAAATTTATTGTACATCTTTCTTGGTTTTGAAAAACTTTTCTAAATCCTTCTAAAGAAGTATATTGATCTATAGTTGTATATAGGATACTAAGTTTAGATTCAATGTAAGTATAAACTTACTCAATTATATATGCAATGTTTATGCCTCACAACACATTACAATAAGCATAGAAATAAAGCTGCAAGAAAGTAAAGTCAAGTGTTGGGAGAGACAAAAATGCACAACCAATTTATATTGGTTCAGCAACATCCACTTGTGACCCACATTCAGTCCTCAATCAACCTGATTGAAAATTTTCACTAATCTTAAATATCATAAGTTTTTCAATCACAATATCATATGCAATGCACTTCTACACTATTAAAGCTTCTTGCACCCCAAGAAAGACTTACTTGTAGCATCCCACTACAAGATTTTCCTTCTTAAGAAACCTACTTAAAAAAAAACACAATACAAAAGTTAAGGAGTGAATTCACTTGATGTACATAACAAATCTAAGTAGGTGAATTAACCAAAGTAACTTACCTTTCACTCCATGAATATGATGATCATTTCAATTATTGAAATCTTTCTTAAGGTTACCACAAAGGTTAAAAAATCCATTTTTGCAAAGAAAAACGTTTTTCAGAGAGTATTTTCGAAAAAGATATCAAAAAGATTTACATCTCTTTGTTTTAAGTGTGAAAAATGATGTATATAAGTTGATGGAAAACCCTTTGGAGAGACTAGATTGATATAGTTCTCCTCCAAGTCTTCTTGAACAGATCTTTCCTCCTTGGTCTCCTCCTAACTTTTTCAATGGCCTCCAATGGTGTTAGAAGCCATTATCCATCACACATGAAGAGGAAGAAACCCCCTTTTGGTTGACGCCACACTCTATGAGTGATAAGTCACTCCAAGTCTCACTACACTCAAGAGAGGATAAGAGAAATGGAACAAGTTTCAAGGAAGAAACAAGCTTTGAGAGAGAAAATTAGAGAAAATTCAATCTAGTTCACATAAAACTCAAAGTAACTTCAGGCAATATAAGGAAATCCTATATATAGGAGTTTGGTTGGCTTATGGTGCAAGATAAACTAACCATGATCAAGTATAACCATGGTTAGTTATCTTGTACTTAAGCTAACTAACCCTTATTAACTTTCTACAAGTCTATTTAGTTGTCTAGAAGCTTATGGAGTAAGCTAAGCTAATCTTAGTTTAAAAATAACCTAGGTTAGCTTAAGCTAACTCCAACAACTACTAGACTAATGATTACTTTGACTAGTTTGTTGAGATGTCACTATCAAGGCCATGTGACTTATTTAACAAGCTTGGATGACTTGTTCATTAAGCTTGGATGTCCAAACCACTTGACCTAGGTTAGTACACCTCCTCTAAACTACTAATTACACCCTTAAAGAAAAATACAAGGAGAAAATTTCTTATACTACTTGACCTAAAATACATGGTTAAAAATATCCTATACAATCACTACTAAGAAGAAGAAAAAATGTAAAACAATCAATAGGAGTCCTTAAGGTAAGATAGGCCTCCAAATGTAGGGTATCCTACAAAATAAGGGTAAATTTTCTACAATTCTTCCAACCATCTTTATCATCCTTCACTCTTCTTGATCTTAACTCTTCCAAAGGGATCTTTAGGAAGTAGGTTTTCATCATAAGTTTTCTAACTGAAAAATTGATTATTTACATGGATAATCGATTATTTTGTTCTTAGCAAATATGAAAATCAACTAAGAACAGTTTAATCGATTATTTTAAACAATAATTGATTATTCCAAAAACTAGTTTATGAAATAATCAATTATTTTGCTGAATAATCGATTATTACAACAATTTTTTCTCGTATTACTAGGAAACAAAACAAATAATCAATTATTACTTAAGATAATCGATTATTTTAAGTAAAAACTTAATATCTCAATTTTCATACCATTTCTCTTTGCAAACCAATTTTAAAACTTATTTTCTTCATCGATCATTATCTAGATAGAGATTTAAGGCAAAGTTATTTATCAGGCACAAAACACACAAGTAACAAAGCTTTAAACACACAAATAAGTTACAACTTGCACTCTTTTCTTTCAAAAGACTCAAAATACAAACCAATACTACAACTTGCACTCTTATCTTTCAAGAGGCTTATTTGTAATCATTAAAACCAACTAAACCCATGTCTTCATCTTGAGCTTGATCAACACATGCAACTATATCACAATTCTAAAATCATCAAGTTCTCTTCCATACCACCAAGAAACCAAAAACCCATTTACAATCCACGAACTCATCTTAATTTTGTCAAAACAGCCATACATGGATGAATTCCAACAACAAATCAACAATTTCAACAAACAATTATTAATCATAAGCTTCCCTTACCTCTAGTGATTCTAAGAGAAAAGAATTGAGGTAGAAGAAAATGAAACTCTATATGGTCCTCGACTTCGAATTTCTTGACCTCCAAGCTCTGAATCTAACAACCTAGCGTTGTTGGCTAGCTAAGGAAGAAGTTTTTGAAATTTTGGGTGAATAAGAGAAAGTGAAAATTTTCTTCGGCTCCAAAGTTTATCTCACTAATTTTTCTTAAAATATATGAACTTATAATGTTCACATATTAAAAAAAACATATATTTTTTCTTAAATTAGATCAACCTAATTTTGACTTAACTATCTCATAAACAACCCTCATGATCTCTTAACTCTTAGAGCTCTAAAATAATATCAATTATAATAAAATAATAATTAATCATATAATTAAATAAAATATTTAAAACATACGATATTATGATTATTGTCATTATTATCATTCGTACCACTGTCATTGCTATTGATGTTATTCCACATAAATAGAACTAATTTTAACAAGATAGAAAACTTTCAAAGTGCATGTGTTTATTTTGAAATTAAAAATTATAAATAGAAAAGAAGTAAAATTAAATTTGAAAAATTAGAAATTGATCGTAATTTTAAAATTTTACAACTAAAAATCATTTAAAATAGCTGCTAATTTTTTTTCTTCAAAACTATTAGTATTTTATAAATTTCGAGTCTCATTAATAATATTTTTTAACATATATTTATATTTAATAATTATGTCCAATTCCCTAACTACTTTTATAATAAATATTTTAAATGAGATTATTTTAAATCAAATATACTAATTTATGGATAATGATAATAATAATAGTAATAATAATAATTATTATTATTATTATTATGTAACATTATTAATGTATATTTAAATTAAAATAATCAATTGTACAAAAATAAAATTAAAATCGTCAATTATTTTTAAAGAAGTGTCCTCATTCGTTAATACTAGGGTAACCGCTAAGCTATATATATCTAATTATTTGTGAACGTGGCAGCTTGTTGGTGGGAATAGCTTTGCATGTTGAACAAGTGGTGGTAGGGTGCCTAGCTTACCATGCTCTTTTTTTATCTTGCCTTTCTTTGGTTCTCACCTTCCTTTCTCATATAAATCCTCCGCCAACTTGAGTTTTCTATTCAAATCGTTCAACACTTGATAATATAGAAAGAGAGATGCAAGCCTCAAAGGAGAAGCTGAAAAACATGGCCAGTGCAGCCAAGGAACAGGTCGACATCTATAAAGCCAAAATAGACGAGAAGGTCAGCTTTTGAGTTTTGAGCTTTTACATCTCTATACATATATCTTGTTGTGTTTATCATAAAGTTAGAATTGTGTTATACTATTTATATGTGGCCTAATGTTAGGGTTACACTACTATAAATTCTAAGATAAAAGAAGCAAACAAGGAAAATTTGGAACAGGCCGTTCTGGAAAGGCAAATTTGGTGTTAATTTCTACTCTAGAACGGGCCGTTCCGTTTTCAGAACGGGCCGTTCCAGTGCACGAAATTTGCACCTTACAATTGGGCCAGAACAGGCCGTTCTAGCCCCTTCTGATTCCTATAAATTGAAGCCTCGAGGACAGTTCTCCGGGCGGCCAGAGAAATTTTGAATAAGACTCCTTTGAGCATGAAAATTCTCTATCTCTCTCCCTTCTATTGTATTTCTTGAGATTTGTGTCGCATCTCTATATTCTCTCTCCCTCCTATTATATTTCTTGAGACCTGTGAGGCATATTGTAGTGTGAAAGGTCGCCACAAAGCACCTGCCCCATATTTGAAGATCCAATAAAGCTCGTTCAAGAGGTATTTTAGTCAATCTTCTTCTCTTCCTTTTATTCCTCATCTTTATCTCTTTTTTTGTTATAATAAACGTCATAATGTAGATATTTTAGGGTTAATCGCTTAGTTTATATTTCAAGCATGTAAATAAATATTATTAAAGGGGATTTAATATTTAATTTATTCTTATCATGTTAACTTCATCATAGGGTACCGATTGAGGGCTCTGTAGGGGTGCTTAATACCTTTCCTACACGTAACCGACCCCCGAACCCAATTCTGGTTATCAAGGCCATAGTTGGATCTTTAAAAACCTTTTCTTTTTCCAATGTTTTGAGTAAAATATTGGTGGCGACTCCATGAACCTATTTTCAAAACCATTAATTAAGAATTAGTCTGGTGTCCGGGCATTCCTTAATTAATGAGACTTTTAAAAGGATGTCTAAACCATTAGTCGCGAGATCGAAAATTTTCGGGTTGCGACATTTACTAATCACGAGTTTGGTCTTCGAGTTATTTATACTCGCCAGTCGGATGTTTACTGGTCAATCACAAGTTTGGTCTTCGAGTTATTTATACTCGCCTAGTCAGATTTTTACTGATCAATCACGATTTGGTCTTCGAGTTATTTATACTCGCCTAGTCAGATTTTTACCAATCAATCACAAGTTTGGTGCCTTTAAAACAAAGCATGTCAATAATGGAGGCATAATAGGAGAAGACATTTATGGAGATGAAATTTTATTGGTTAATAGTGCCTCGTTAACAACCTTCTCAACAAAAAACCCTTTCACATTTTTATAGGGAATAAAAATACTGAGTTAGGAAAAGAGTGCACATAATACAACAAGCAGATTAACTGTAATAAAAATGTAAATTTGCAGCATTCCATGTCATCAGAATTCTTCCGTCATCTAGCATCTTCAATCAGTAAGCTCCTTTGCCAACTACTTCGTCAATTCTATAAGGGCCGACCCATTTGGGTGACAATTTATTCCTCATCTGAGTTAGCTGAGCATGCTTCAGAACAAGGTCTCCCTCAACAAAATCTCTTGGGACGACTTTTGAATTGTACTTAAAAGCTGCCCTTCGCTCAGCTGCCACTTGATTTATCCAGGCTTTGTCTTTTGTTTCAGAAATCAAGTCCAAATCAACTCGCCTAAGAAGATTGACTGAAATACCTCTTGAACGAGCTTTATTGAATCTTCAAATATGGAGAAGGTGCTTTGTGGCGACCTTTCACACTACAGTATGCCTCACAGGTCTCAAGAAATATAATAGGAGGGAGAGAGAATATAGAGATGCGACACAAATCTCAAGAAATACAATAGAAGGGAGAGAGATAGAGAATTTTCATGCTCAAAGGAGTCTTATTCAAAATTTCTCTGGCCGCCCGGAGAACTGTCCTCGAGGCTTCAATTTATAGGAATAATCATGAGGTTTGAGTTTTGTGTGGAGCAGGCGGATGTAGCGTTGGCAAGAACAGAAGTGGAGAAAGAGATAGCTCATGATCTGGCAAAGGCAAAGGAAGCTAAAGCAAGGATGGAGCTTCATGAGGCTAGAGCCAGGCATGCAGCGGAGAAGCTACAGACTCAGACTCAGACTCAGCACCAGCCACTTGGGGCAGTTCCCATGCCCGGAGCCACTCATTTGTCTTATCCACCAGGAGGAAACTCTCCCATCAACAAACATATATAGATCTCTCTTTTGCACTTTCTTTTTATTCTTATTTCTAGGAGCTTGCAGTCGTAGACATCAAATAAGAATGGTCTCTTTTACTCTTAATCCTTCCATGTATATATTTCAGAATGGCTTTCATTTCACCCAATGGGAATCCCCCTTTCTTATAATTCTACGACTTAGAGAATTCCACATGGCACCATTTCTCTCTACATTTGACCACCAGAATCACAATACAACATATCAGTAACAGAAAAATACAATAATGCCAAGTTGTTTTAATTGCAGGGCCCCACTATATCCAGAAGGCTACAATCTCTCAACTTCTATTACGCACTGTAATTTGACCTGGCGTCCAAACATATATAAAATATTGACGACGATGAAATTAGTTCTTCAAGCATATGTCTCAATTTCTTTCTTTCCTCAATGTTTGGACGAGAAATTTTACAAATTATAAAGTTTTAAATTTTTAAATTTTTAATATTTGAATTATTTTGATTTTAATTTTTATCATTTTTAAAATATTTTGTTTAAATAAGTTAATTTAAATTTTTTAAATTTTAAATTATTAAATTGAATATGATAATTTAGTTTTATCATCTTGATTTTCAATTTTTAAAATATATTTATATGTTGAAATTTTTAAATTAAATTTTATAAAAATAAATATTAATTAATTTTTAAATATTTAATAATTTTAAAAATAAATATTAAATAATATTTAATAATTTTAAAAATATTTAAAAATATTTAATAATTAAAAATATGAAGAGATAAGAGATAAGAAAAAAAATATATAAGTAAAATAAGAAAAAAAAATTTAAATTTCAAATTTTTATTTTTTTATTTTAAAAAATTTGAAATTTTACTATTTTAAAATTTTTTATAAATACTTGAATTTTAAATTCTTTATAAATTCTCAGTATTTTATTTCAAAAAAATTATCTCAAAAAATTTAAAAAATTTTAAATAAATAAATTATTCTATTTAAATTTTTCATTCACTATTTGTGTTGGGTTCCAAACATATATGAATACAATGTGTGTTCTCGAGCTGAACTGAAAAATATTTTCCCCTCAACCACTAGTGTTTGGGTTCCAAATAATACGTATACAACTTGTGTGTATTCCTGAGCTAAACCGAAACTATTTTTTAATATTATTCATAAATTATAATTATTCCAACTGCTCAAGAACTCAATATGTGGAATTATTTAAAATAAAAATGCAGAGATTGAGGAAGCTTTTTTGTTATCTTTTTTGCTTCGCTTATTCAGGGAAAATCAAGTTATTGTCAAGGAACCGATAGTACTGACATTTCGTTGTTCATTTACATGAAATAAATCAAAACTCAAATACTATTATCATTACAACAAATCGATGTTTAAAGAAAATATTAAGTGTACAAGGATAGAATCAATATCAGTTTCCAATAACAAGCTGGCCTTTCGGAAAAAAAATATATTAAAACCGATTTTCACACAGAATTATATTGACAACACATTGAGTAATGCCAGAACATTTCATTCCGCGTTAATAAGAAACTCATCGTATGCAATAATTGGATAACTAGCTTGAGCTGCGCCTTCACTTATTTGGGATTTTGCTTCAATCTCCACCCAGCAATACCAATTGTGTCTAACACCTAATCTCGTAGGATCCTGCTTTTGTAATATAACGAACCCACTCAACGGTATTGTACCCGCTCTTCTCCCACACCTACAAAGAGTAAATAAAAAAGATAGAACCCCGCTTAGTTGTGAAAGGATGCATAAAAAAGGGTACGGTTGGTCGAGATGGATACCTTGAGGAAACGAACACGTAAACCAGATGCTGTGAACATGGGAACCTGCATCAAGAAATATAGAACAAGTGCGTGTAAGTGAAAGTTTGGAAAGACAGTTCCACAAGTGAGTATGATAAATTTCTTCAGAAATTTAGCCAACAGCAGAGGATCAATAGTCCCATCAAGCTTGGCCAAAATGAGGAAAAGAAAAAAAAGCAAAAATAAATCATTATTTGATCATCTGCTTTTAAACCAACGCAGATGGACATCTGACGAATGAACAAGATTGTAATCCCGTGTCTAACTCCCATTATTTCTTCCGAGAGACAAACAAAACAGTCCCTTGATTTTGTTTATGAATCAGAATCACTTTTTACCTTCAACTAACTCAGAACAAGTACTTTCCTTGCAACATCTTAAAAGTATAGTAAGGATGAACCAAAATCACAAGAGATGTCAAAGTTCTCAAGATTAATTTTAAAAGTAACAACCAAAACTAAAAAGTTATTGGAACTACCACTGATGATTGACCCAAGTTCAAGAGCTTCAGACCAATAAAAAATTTATATTCCAATTCCTACTATATGCACTTTTCCTCCAAGTAACAATGGTTACATGCAAGTTGTTTCTATCTATAACAAACAATAACAAATACACATGAGCTGCAATTCAGAGCTTCATATATCAGATTACATATGCATTTAGCACCGATGATAATAACATAAATTATTTTTCTTTAAAAAACAACATACAACACCAGGAAGTGAGAACAAATGTAGCATGAAACTAGCCCATTTTCACATAACCAGTAAACCAATAACACACCTGAAACTCCATCTGAATTGGTGGTCTAGTCCAAGATTTTTTTTCTGTTGTTGTAGAAATAAGTTCAACTTCGGCACTCAAGGTTGACTCAGTTTGCCCAGGGAATTTTCTAATCCTATAAATAAGGAAAAGCAACCAATGATGATATTAGAATGATTGGTTTACTATAATGAAAAACAATACAAACTAGAGTATAAATGGAAAAGAGTGGGGCGCAAATGGGAGAATAACAATTGATTCATATATATACACACACTTGCATGCATGCATGCATACATACAAACATACACTATTGGCTTCTGCCTAAGAAAACACATTAAATGGTACCCATTAATAACATAAAAAATAATTGGAACTTTTTCAAATATGAAATAATAAAGTGAAATACCATAGTTCAAATAATAATCACAGTGAAGACACTTACTTCCAAACCAAACAATCAATAGAAGAATTGTATTTTGCTCGGCCAGATGTAACAGTGAAATTTGTTTTTGCTGTTTGTTTCGGCACAGGAATCTTGACTACAACACCAAGTGCAAACATTTTTACACCAAAAACACTCTTTACCTATAAAATATGTACCCAAAAAAATGAATGAACAAGTGGAGGATGGCAAATCATCAAGAGAATGGTTATCCAATATGTAAAATTTCAAACCTTAACATTAACTTCTATCCGTGATCGACCAAGTTCCTTGATGGTTGGCAATACTTTGAAGGGAAGATTAACTCCCTCAGTGATACGATACCTGCCCATATATAACTATGTTAACCGATATTAAAGTATTAAACACAAACCAAAAGCAATTATAACACCTTTATGAATCCACCCAATCCTATAGTTAGTTATTTGTAATACCAAGTACTGGTTAAATAAGTTTGAAGGACAAAGAGGGAATTACAAATAGTTAAACCTCTGCCCTCACAAAAAAATAACATTAAAGAGGATATTTGATGTTGATTTCTGAAATTAGATAGCAAGAGATAGGATTAAAAGAAAAGAACCTACTTCATCAGTTCAAATTCACCATCAGGTGGTACAAAGCTAACAGTCTTCTCTGAGTTGAACCTTGTCAAATTTACGCATTGATGGAAAGTGACATCATCAAGCTCGATAGTTTTACCACTGCAACATGGATTTGTTGATAAGATGTGAATAAAGAGATTAGAAAAGGGAAAGAGAAAGAGGCGAAACATAACATAAAATATCCTCCAAGTACAGCATATAGAATAGGAACTGAAGTGTAAAAGCAAGAAAACAAACAGCCCCATTTAAAACAAATCATTTTTAATGCTAACATAACAGGAGAACATAAAGACACGAACTTGAAATGATAATATTTAAAGATAAAAATCATTTGCAGGCAAAAAAGGGGAAATCAGTGCAAATGAAGACTACCTTTTAGTAGGACGGGATTTAAGTTGTGCTTCTTTCTCAAGACCAATCTTGTCATTCAAACCCAACTTTAAATCAGGCATTCCAGAAAGAAAGCACTTCATAAGAATCTTCCCAGTGACATCACAACGTAGAATACTGCCTAAATTCACAAACTAGTAAGCAGGCAGGCAATCTAGCAAATATCAATATGGAGAAAAATGAAATCCACAGCCCACCTTTTGAAGACATCAGAAGATTTACGCTTTCCACAATATCTAGGAAGACCTGCAATAGGTCAATGTTATAACAACACAAGTTGTATGGAAATAATTGTAAATAATAGATGTGACATTACCTCATTCTTTTTGTACACAAGACCTTCTCTCCGCCAACCAACAGCACCAGTAACTTGTAAAGTCGCATTTGGAACAGGTTTATCTGTAAGCTTTTATTTAGTGCACAAAGAATATAGTCAAGAAAAGGATTTAATGGAATACTCAACACAACATGGTAAACATATCAAGTTAAAAATATACAGATAGATAAACATTGCAACACACTAAGAGACTTAGTAATAGAAATTGCATATAGGCTCTTTATGGACAGAAGTTAAAATGTTTGCATCATCATTTTTTCATTTTATAATTACTAAATTTTCAACTTAATTTTGAGACTTGAGAAGAGGTGTTGGAAAAGTTTCATACGAAAAAAGTTCAAAGTACTATGACATTAGTGAAGTAAGAGAAAACCTGACCATAGGTATAACCCATGCCTTATCAACCAGAAACATTGAAGATAAATGATAGCTTATCGTACAAACTTAATAGTTTGTTTGTTCCTTACAAATATGAAGCAAGTACAAAATAATTTAAAGTTTGCAACAATGTCAACTTGAGTAGTATGCGTTTAACAAAAAGGTGAACATTGTTACATAACATAAATGTTTCACTTATATGGAAACATATGCTAAAGACAACACAGTACCAAAACACAGACTAGATCAATATGATTCTTGATCTTCTAAATCTGCAATTAAAGGTTAGCACTTAGCAATAAGATCATCAACCTAAGTAGCCAACCTAGAGATGGCAATTTGGCCTGAGCCAATTCTCTGGTCATGTTTGGAAGAATAGAGGTAGCACAGTTCCATCTTTTAAACTTTAACATCAAGGGAGTGAAGAGAAAAGCAAAGAAGTTTTGGTAAAGGGAAATAAATTGATGATATGGAGCAAATGTCTTGTATATTATTTTATGCTTGGTATTTTCATACATTCATACATCTATGTGGTAGTCTTTGAGATTTCTTTTTTATTTTGTTACTTCATGGTAGCTACTACCAACAATAGTGTTTTCTGGTTAACCTTGGATGAAAATGGGGACCGGATTCCTTCCTGAGTGATATAAAGCTTTAAGATCTCTGGTGAAAGATTTTGTGGGTAACCAAAGTCCATAATTTCTGCAAAAAAAAAAGGTACGTAATAATCATTCACATGTTTAAATTACAAGTGTTTATTCTCTATCACAGAATTTATTCTCGCCTTCAACACTAAAATAAAAAAAATAAAAATAAAAATTAAACCTGTAAACATATATATATTTGTATATCTTTTCAATAATATAGAATAGATTCACAAAGCAACGCATCTAATAGTTATCAACCAAGAGCATTGATACATGAGACCAATATAATGAATTTAGAGTTTACCAAAAGCATCGAGAGAGGAAGGAACACATTGTATCCTTCGCTTTGTTTGCTTGAATTTTTTGTCAGTTGAAACCATTCATAACCTTTTTTTATATTCTTTGCAGCTAAAAGCCTGGTTATGGTAGTTATCTAACTTATTTTATATTTAAATGATATGAATATCATTAAAAATTTAAAATATATTCTAATTTCTAAGATGCACAATCATATTCAGGCATCTCTCTCTTCTGAATAAGTGCCAAAATTGACATATATAATTCCTCACTCAAAGAAACTTGGGCAGCTGTAACTTTGCTACATTATACTTTTTTAATTTCTGAAAGTTTTAAAATTACAAGAAACTAAAACCCTTGCATTGAGTTTCAAGTTTTAAAACATACATTAGACAAAAATTATCAAAAGCAAGATCGTGGAAGGAAAATAGTTTATCCCCTGTACTATAAAGTACATACCATCTAGAAGCTCGTAAATGAGTACAAAATTATTGCGAATTGCATCTTCATCAAAAGATCCACCAAAATATGATTTGAACAATGCAACAGCCTGGAAGTAAAAAGTACAATTATCAGCCACCACAAAGCACAAAGATCATTTTTTTAATCATGACAAGTAGTAAAACTTTAAGAGAAACCATTTAAAAAGATCTACATGGTGTTTATGAGAAACACTTGCAACATACTCTTGAACACTTTACTATTGGCTGAAATTTATTAGAAATCACAATTCTTTGTAGGCCTCACTTCCTATTTAATGAACCTCACTCATGACACTGTAGTTTCAATTAAATTTAATCCAACAATAAAGAATCCATCAAAAAGAGTATGTAGCTAGCACTTCTTGAGAAAACTAGGTTTTTGATATAGTCTAATGTTGACAATTGATCAGCCTCATATACAGAGATAAGGCTTGTTTGCTGATTTTGTTGGTAGACTGGACTGTTAAGTGACTCTCTGACTACTGAATACAAGATAATATCTCCAAGACTTATTAGTAGGTCCATTGACCAATAAACACATAGCATTGAAATCAATCCAAAGATAAACAACTACTAATTAGCAAACACGTAAAATTACTTTATTGAATTTCGTGATTCAAGAAAAAAAAACATTGACAACACAAAAAAGCTCTCTGTATAGATGGCAAAGCCAAGAAAACAAATGTTATTAAACCCTAATTGATCTACGTTACCCTTAGTAAGTGTCATGTTCCAATCTGAAGTCAAGCCACAATTCAGCACTTATAGTTGATTCTCCACTAAAGTCATGGTAGCTTACACCTTACAACCCTCTTCTCATAGTCCATTTCATTCATCATAATTGGGACTAACTTTTAGAATTTAGAGGGTTCCTCCTATCTCGTTAACACCAAGCAATCATTTAACAAATAACCCCAACAAATCCTTCACCTCAGATAAAGGTGAATGAAAGGTAGAGGTGGAGTACCTCAACAACAAACTTGAAAGCGCAAGCCACATTAGCATTGTTATTGACAACAATGACGATGTAGACATTGCTGATCCTCATGTAAAAGAAAGAGCATCCACCAATCTGCTTCACAGGGCAAGTACCAAGCTCCTTCGTCTGCATAATATGAGTCCTAAAAGCATCCACCATATTTCCCCTGCAATAAAACCATCAATTAGCGATAGCCACGTCAATTGTTCCAAATAACGAAACCATGATATCGCTATATACAATACAAGCTATGATTAAAACGCGCGTAACGATTGAAGAAAAAACCTAATGTATCGATGAAAATGCGAATGTGTAAGAAAGAGTACCCGACATCGTCGCGATAGAGGCGGTTGATGAGAACGTCTCCGCGGAGGTTGAGGAAGTACACGGCGGAAGCGGCCACCGGCATCTCCGGTACACTTTATCGGAAGATCAATTAAGGGTTGTAAGATACGGAGGTTCTGTCGCGTATTAGTGGTTTCGAGACGGAGCAACAAGAAATGAAAGGCGTTGTCGCCGATTTGTTGAATTGGATTCAGACACGAGAGTGCGTCGAATTTTCAACAAACAATTATGGAATCTTGTGAATATATATTGTCGAGTGTAATAATCTCACTGTAAAAACTAGTAGTTTTTTTTTTTTTTTTACAGCAACAATAATTTAGTAGTTAGTTTACATCGGATGGGATATTTTGTAATTTATTAGATGAATTATAATCGAATTTGTATAATGTTTAAATTGATGTTACATTATAAATAAATATCAACATAATTTTATTTCTAAATCAATTTGATTAAATTCAAAATTTTAAAATAATTATTTTTAATTATTATATCGGATGACATTATCGAAAGGTTCAATTCATATCAAGATCAAATAAATTTATAAAGAATGAAAAGACTTTATAAAATGTATATTGGTTGTTGATTGGTTTAGTATTTGGACTCAAGTTTAATAAAGTTAGTATAAATAATAAATAATAAAGAGAAGATATGTTTTTAGTATTTATTACAGTTTTGATTGTATTGATTTATTTAAGATCGATAATTAACTTAAGCTTAAAGTGTTTTTTATAGGTATTTTTTCTTTTTTACATCATTAAATAATATAATCAAGGACTACTAGTTTCAATATTAAAGGTAAAAACAATATTTGTATCAAACTTGTAACGATCCGTCTGGCCATCACACCTGACTCAACACTACAGCACAAGCAAGTATATATATATAAACAACTAAAATATATATACAAGGTCCAATCTGGGGCTAAGAATCAGATTATACAAAATACACCCAGCAATGCTACACTAAAAAGCTAAAACAGCAAAATTATCAAAAAGAATGAGCTCCATCTGCTAGTTGCAGACCTGCATCAACTCACCAACCTAACACTGCTCTGCTCCCATACATAGTATGATCATTGCAGTCCAAACCACATGAAAACAACAAAGGGTAAGCTAGTGAAAAGAATCAATATATATATATATATATATATATATATATCTAAATACATGAATGGTAAACAGCTACAGCTATCAACACGTCATCAGCATACAACTCATCACATATACAGCAAAAGCAATAAACACACAATGCGTCGTCACGCATATCAGCTAGATTTGGTCGCTTGTAAGCAGTATAGCTCGACCTTGCCCCTATACCATAGTCACTTTATAATCGGTATAGCTCGACATTGCGCCTATACCGTGGTCACTTTGTACACGTGTGCCTCGATCTTGCCCACACATGGGACCAACTAAGTACTTAGAGGAGAACAGCATAGTGACCACTCCAAGGGTCAGCTTCCCAGGGAGGGTTTTCAACAAATTGGGCTCTAAAAGCACCACAACTACCTCAATCCACACCATGGAATGAGAAATTTCGAAAACATCTCCTCTAGTCTTAGTGATCAACAGCTCAGCCTTACGGCCTACAACAGCTCAGCCTTACGGCTTACAACAGCTCAACCTTACAGCCTACAACAGTTCAGCCTTACGGCCTACAACAGTTCAGCCTTACGGCCTACAACAGCTCAGCCTTATGCAACTCAGCTTATACATTACAATTCAAAATTAACAACTCATAGCACAACAATAACAACATTCATCAATGACATCTCAGCTCAGCAAACATCAACAATTATTAGAATTTTCAACACTTAACAGCATATATAGTAATCACACATCCGCGCCCGGCGCACTCGTGGTCGCGCCCGACATGGCCCAACTAGAGAGCATCAAGGCTCCAACGCGCACGGCGCAATACATATTGCGCCCGGCGTGCTAGGAGGCAGAGACCCCAAAAGATCTCACACGCCCGACGTGCCAACCCGCGCTCGGTGCAGGGTAGACAAAGACCTCCCCAAGGTCTCACGCCTAGCGCAATTATAATTGCGCCCAGCGTCACCTCTAGCAAAGACTCCCAAGGAGTCTCCATGCCTGACGAGACAAGATCACGTCCGGCGCAACACCAGAAACCCACAAGCAATGTTACTTACGGGTATCGCGCCCAGCACGGTCCAACCACGCCCGGCGTGGGCCTTCCAGAGGCTCACATTCTCAAGCTCGCCCGGCGCACACACCCTTGCGCCTGGCAGGCTTGCACAAATGGAGCCCTCTAGTGGTCACGCGCCCGGCGCCGAGAACTACGCCCGGCGTGATAGCCAGCAACAACTCACCAAGTTCAAAAATTTCTTTAAAAACCTGCAAAGATTAACATTTCCAGCACATGCAAACCATCCAAATTGTCACATTTTCAACCAACAGCTCAAAAATCCCCTCTTTTTACACATGCAATCATCAAACAATAAAAACCCAAATTTTCACCCCAAAACCCGAAAATCCCGAAAATGAGTTTTCTTCAATCTCAGCCAAAATCATCCATCATCAGGCAACTAATGAGCTTCTAGAACTCATTTACAACCCAAAATCAGCAAAACCTAGCTTCTCTTACCTCGGTGCGAAAATCCGAGCTTCGGGACAGCGGAGGAAAAGAGAAAGAGCTTAACAGAGAAGAGAAAAGGATTTCCGGCTTCCAGCTAGCTTCACACGACACTACCCCTCACCTACAGCCACCAAGGAATGGATTTGATCCAAGCAAAGAAAGGAATACAAGGTTGAGAGAGAATCAACAAAGTGAGTAGAGAGTGAAGTGAGTGAAGAGGAAAAAGAAAATAGAAACAGGGGTCTCATAACCTCCCTAACAACAGGAGTTTTCGTCCCCGAAAACAGACTTACTTGGGAAAAGAAAAGGGTACCGCTCCCTGTACTGCTGCTCAACCTCCCAAGTAGCCTCACCAGTAGCTGCATCCCACAACACCTTTACCAGAGCAATGGACTTGCCTCTTAGCTCCTTCAGCTTATGATCAACCACAGCCACCGGCGACTTCTCAAACGTCAAAATCTCCTTCACCCGCACATCATCTAGCTCAACCACATGACCAAGGTCATGGACATACTTCCTCAGCTGAGATACATGAAATACATCGTGTAGGTTTGAAAGAGACGGTGGCAAAGTCAACCGATAAGCAACCGGACCCACACGCTGTATGATCAGATAGGGACCAATAATCCTAGGTGTCAACTTCCTTGCCTTTAGTGCTCTACCTACACCAGAGGTAGGGGTCACCTTCAGAAACACATGCTCCCCTTCAGCAAACTCCAAAGGCTTTCGCCTTTTATCAGCATAAGATTTTTGTCTACTTTCAGCAGTCTTCATCCTCTCCTGAATCAACTTCACCTTCTTAGTAGTCTGTAGGATCAGCTCTCGTCCCACAACCACTAACTCACCATCTTGATACCAGCATAGAGGAGTCCTACACCTCCTGTCATACAAGGCTTCAAATGGCGTCATCCCAATACTAGCATGAAAGCTATTATTGTACGTGAACTCAACCAGCGGTAGGACTTCCTCCCAGTTTCCCAAGTGGTCTAACACACAAGCCCTCAGCAGATCCTCCAAGGACTGGATTGTCTTCTCTGACTGACCATTCATCTACGGATGATAAGTAGAACTCAGTTTCAGCTTCGTGCCTAAGGCTTGATGTAGACTCTGCCAAAATCTGGAAGTGAACCTCGGATCTCTGTCTGAAATAATATTGGAAGGCACCCCGTGCAACCGTACTATTTCCCTCACATACAACTGCGTCAGCTTCTCCAAGGACCACTTGATGTTGACAGGCAAGAAATGTGCACACTTGGTCAACCGATCAACAATCACCCAGATAGCATCACTATTCCTAGCCGACCTAGGCAACCCCACAATGAAATCCATAGTGATACTATCCCACTTCCATTCCAGAATCTCCATCTGCTGCATCAATCCACTCGGCTTCTGATGCTCCACCTTCGCCTTCTGACAAGTCAGACAGGCCGCCACATATTCAACCTTCTGACATGTCAGACAGGCCGCCACATATTCAACTATCTCATTCTTCATACCAGACTACCAGAAAGTCTTCTTGAGGTCTTGGTACATCTTAGTCATACCAGGATGTATGCTAAGTCTAATATTGTGGCCTTCCTCCATCACAACTCTCTTCAGCTCAACATCATGAGGTAGGCAAATTCTGCCCTTAAACCTCAAGATTCCATCTCCGCCCATCTCAAAACCAACAGCCTTCTTGGTACCCAGCAAACCAAGAAGCTTCACCAACTTAACATCTTGCAACTGCTTCTGTCCAACCTGCCTCAAGAACTCACTAGTTATGGTAATCATCCCACAACTAATGTGATCTTGAGCTAACTCCACGCAAAGATTCAGATCTCTGAACTCCTCTACCAGCTCCAGCTCCTTCACCATCATACTAGACATGTGGATGGATTTCCTACTCAGGGCATCTGCCACAACATTGGCCTTCCTAGGATGATACATCAACTGGAAGTCATAATCTTTCTGAAACTCCATCCATCGCCTCTGCCTTATATTCAGCTCCTTCTGATCAAACAGATATTTCAGACTCTTGTGATCACTGAAGACGCTGAACCAAGCACCATAAAGGTAATGCCTCCATATCTTCAAGGCAAAAACAACTACTGCCAACTCCAAGTCATGAGTAGGATAATTTCTTTCATGGTTCTTCAGTTGCCTTGAAGCATATGCCACTACTTTCCTATTCTGCATCAGCACACACCCCAAACCCTGGTGAGAAGCATCACAATACACATCAAAGGGCTCACCAGAATCGGGAAACACTAACACAGGAGAAGTAGTTAACCTCTTCTTCAGCTCATCAAAACTCCTCTCACAAGCATTAGTCCAAATGAACGATTTCTCCTTCCTTGTCAACTGGGTTAGAGGCGCTACTATCTTGGAGAATCCCTCAATGAACCTTCGATAGTAACCTGCTAGACCCACAAAACTCCAAATATCAGTGACAGTTCTTGGACGCTCCCACTGCAATACCGACTCCACCTTAGCCGGATCAATAGCAATTCCCTTAACTGAAATCACATGTCCCAAGAACTTCACCTCATCCAACCAGAACTCACATTTTGAAATTTTAGCGTACAACTGCTTCGCCTTCAAAATTTCCAGCACCAACCTCAAGTGCTCTCTATGCTCCTCCGG